CTGATGTCAGGACGTATATGTAACACACTATACTACTGTCAGGATGTACATGTAACACACTATACTACTGTCAGGACATATTACACACTGTACTTCTGTGAGGACGTACATGTAACACACTATACCGATGTCAGGACGTACATGTAACATACTACAGTGATGTCAGGACGAACATGAAACGCACTATACTAATGTCAGGACGTACATGTGACACACTATACTACTGTCAGGAGGTACATGTAACACACTATACTGATTTCAGGACGTACATGTGACACACTATACTACTGTCATGACGTACATGTGACACACTATACTACTGTCATGATGTACATGTAACACACTATACTGATGTCAGGACGTATATATAACACACTATACTACTGTCAGGATGTACATGTAACACACTATACTGATTTCAGGACGAACATGTAACACACTATACTGATATCAGGACGAACATGTAACCCACTATACTACTGTCATGACGTACATGTGACACACTATACTACTGTCATGATGTACATGTGACACACTATACTACTGTCAGGACGTACATCTGACACTCTATATTACTGTCAGGATGTACATGTAACACACTATACTACTGTCAGGACGTATATGTAACACACTATACTACTGTCAGGATGTACATGTAACACACTATACTACTGTCATGGCGTACATGTGACACACTATACTGATGTCAGGACGTACATGTAATACACTATACTACTATCAGGACGTACATGTGACACACTATACTACTGTCAGGAGGTACATTTAACACACCATACTACTGCCAGGATGTACATGTGACACACTATACTACTGTCAGGACGTACATGTAACACACTATACTACTGTCAGGACGTACATGTAACACACTATACTACTGTCAGGACGTACATGTAACACACTATACTACTGTCAGGACGTACATGTTACACACTGTACTTCTGTGAGGACGTACATGTAACACACTATACTGATGTCAGGAGGAACATGTAACACACTATACTGATGTCAGGACGTACATGTAACACACTATACTGATGTCAGGACGAACATGTAACACACTATACTGATGTCAGGAGGTACATTTAACACACTATACTACTGTCAGGATGTACATGTAACACACTATACTATTGTCAGGACATATTACACACTGTACTTCTGTGAGGACGTACATGTAACACACTATACTACTGTCAGGATGTACATGTATTACACTATACTACTGTAAGGACATTTAACACACTATACTACTGTCAGGATGCACATGTAACACACTATACTACTGTCAGGACATTTAACACACTATACTACTGTTAGGACATTTAACACACTATACTACTGTCAGGATGTACATGTAGCACACTATACTACTGTCAGGACGTACATCTGACACACTATATTACTGTCAGGATGTACATGTAACACACTATAATACTGTGAGGACGTACATGTTACACACTGTACTACTGTCAGGACATGTTACACACTGTACTTCTGTGAGGACGTACATATAACACACTATACCAATGTCAGGACGTACATGTGACACACTATACTACTGTCATGACGTACATGTGACACACTATACTACTGTCATGATGTACATGTGACACACTATACTACTGTCAGGACATGTTACACACTGTACATCTGTGCGGACGTACATGTAACACACTATACTGATTTAAGGACGTACATGTAACACACTATACTACTGTCAGGACATGTTACACACTGTACTTCTGTGAGGACGTACATGTAACATACTATACTGATGTCAGGACGTACATGTAACACACTATACTACTGTCAGGATGTACATGTAACACACTGTACTACTGTCAGGATGTACATGTAACACACTATAATACTGTTAGGACATTTAACACACTATACTATTGTCAGGACGTACATGTAACACACTATAATACTGTTAGGACATTTAACATACTATACTACTGTCAGGACGTACATGTAACACACTGTACTACTGTCAGGATGTACATGTAACACACTGTACTACTGTCAGGATGTACATGTAACATACTATACTAATGTCAGGATGTACATGTAACACACTATAATACTGTTAGGAGGCATATTTTACACACTGTGCTACTGTCAGGATATGTTACACACTGTACTTCTGTAAGGACGTACATGTAAAACACTACACAACTGTCATGACGTGCATGTAAAACACTATACAGCTGTCATGACGTGCATGTAACACACTATAATACTGTCAGGACGAACATGTAACACACTATACTGATGTCAGGACGTACATGTAACACACTATACTACTGTCAGGATGTACATGTAACACACTATACTACTGTCAGGATGTACATGTAACATACGATACTACTGTCAGGATGTACATGTCAGGATGTACATGTAACACACTATAATACTGTGAGGACGTACATGTTACACACTGTACTACTGTCAGGATGTACATGTAACATACTATACGGATGTCAGGATGTACATGTAACACACTATAATACTGTCAGGACGAACATGTAACACACTATACTGATGTCAGGACGTACATGTAACACACTGTACTACTGTCAGGACGTACATGTAACACACTATACTGATGTCAGGACGTACATGTAACACACTATACTACTGTCAGGACGTACATGTAACACACTAAAATACTGTCAGGACGTACATGTAGCACCGTATACTGATGTCAGGACGTACATGTAACACACTATAATACTGTCAGGACGAATATGTAACACAATATACTGATGTCAGGACGTACATGTAACACACTGTACTACTGTCAGGACGTACATGTGACACACTGTACTACTGTCAGGATATACATGTAACACACTTGACCACTGTCAGGACGTACATGTAACACACTATACTACTGTCAGGACGTACATGTAACACACTATACTACTGTCAGGATGTACATGTAACACACTATACTACTGTAAGGACATTTAACACACTATACTACTGTCAGGATGTACATGTAACACAGTATACTACTGTCAGGACATTTAACACACTATACTACTGTTAGGACATTTAACACACTATACTACTGTCAGGATGTACATGTAACACACTATACTACTGTCAGGACATGTAACACACTATATTGATGTCAGGACGTACATGTAACACACTATGCTTCTGTGAGGACGTACATGTAACACACTATACTACTGTCAGGACGTACATGTAACACACTATACTACAGTCAGGACGTACATGTAACATGCTAGACCTCTGTCATGACGAATACATGTATACAACACACTTAACTACGGTCAGGACGAACAAAATACAAAACATGGTCTATCACTCCCATGACGTACATTTTTTTTACGTAGGTGTTTGCATGAAACACGATATACCACTGTTAGAAAAACATGTTGACCTCGAGCACTGTATACCACGATCAAGACGTATATTTGTACAGGAACCTCTTGACAGAAACAAGTCCTGCTTAGCGTAAACAATTCATGTTTTACACTAACAAGTCTTATTTCACGTACTTCACTTATACAAGTCCTATTTCACTCAAACAAGTCCTATTTCACTTAAACAAGCCCTATTTCACTTAAACAAGTCCTATTTCACTTAAACAAGTCCTATTTCACTCAAACAAGTCCTACTTCACACAAATAAGTCCTACTTCACACAAACAAGTCCTACTTCACACAAACAAGTCCTATTTCACTCAAACAAGTCCTATTTCACTCAAACAAGTCCTAATTCACTTAAACAAGTCCTACTTCACACAAACAAGTCCTACTTCACTCAAACAAGTCCTATTTCACTCAAACAAATTCTACTTCACGCACTTCACACAAACAAGTCCCACTTCACATACTTTACAGAAACAAATCCTATTTCACACAAACACGACCTATTTCACACAAACAAGTCATATTTCACACAAACAAGTTCTACCTCACATACTTCACACAAACAAGTCCTATTTCACTCAAACAAGTTCTACACGCACTTCACACAAACAAGTCCTATTTCACTCAAACAAGTTCTACTTCACGCACTTCACACAAACAAGTCCTAATTCACTTAAACAAGTCCTACCTCACACAAACAAGTCCTATTTCACTCAAACAAATTCTACTTCACGTACTTCACACAAACAAGTTCCACTTCACATACTTCACACAAGCAAGTTCAAATTCACGTCCTTCACACAAACAAGTCATATTTCACACAAACAAGTTCTACCTCACGTACTTCACAGAAACAAGTCCTACTTCAAATACATGTACAACTGTTTTCTACTGTACCTGATACTGGAGGAACGAAAGATGTCAATGAAATCATGTAGAAGTCAGATGACTTAAATAATAATCATATGTCCTTTGTAGGAACTTTATCATCATAGGAAAGTAATAGTGTTTGGCTGACGAAAGCATATGAAAATGTCTCAATAATCAGACCTATATATTGTCAACCAGAACTTTCTATCATTTGATGTAGATCTTTTATATATTAACAAACACGTTCCATTACAGTTCATAATCAACGATATGTCCAGTTGCTCTCTTTTCTTTTAAAATACGAAAAAATGGAGATGCTCCCTTCGAGTGGAATATGATATGGTAGTGTACAAAGTAGAAAATGTTTCAGCAGTGGGTGTTCAAAGGTTAGTCGAAACCTCTTAAGAGTTCTTTAAAATCCACATACCATTCATCCTACTTCTGAAGTATACTGTTTCACAATTAAAACTGCATCCCTGATCTGATAGTGCTTAATAGAACAATTAGACGAACCAGCAAATCAAACTTGATTCTTATGAAGGTCAGGAATCCCAAATAAACAAGGGTGGTCCGTACCCTTATAATTAATTGGCAATCTGAATGTTTGTAATACCTGTTAACATTGATTATCACTTAAAACATATAAACACTCAAAAAGTACAGATCTATACAGGAATATTGAAATGATAACATTTTCAAGCATTGCAAAACAGATTTTTATTATGACAGTGAAAATCATCACATTGGTGTAGTCGCTTTCACCTAACATCAGACGAAGATTTCTAAAAGAAATTATTACATCCATTTCTGCACTATGCGACGTACTCGTGGACAGTAGCTATCAACGCCTAATTTCACAGATATAGAATAGGTTATATCCAGTACAGAAACAGTCCAACATCCGAAAGTTTTCTGACTGTCGGGTACAACCACACCGTTGGGTCCCGCCGTCTGGTTCACCACTTGCCCAGGTCCTCACGTTCGTATCTACTATCTGGTTGTTGCTAACAAAAACCCAGTTGTTCGCCTCATTTCTTTTACGTCCGGTGTATATAATGTCAGTGTTTCCTGAAAATAGCCAATGGAGAAGTTTATGAAAATAAAAATATAAAGATGCGTGTATCAGCTGATGATTATCATTTTGGAAATGAAACCTTTATCTTCAAAGAACAATTATAAGGCTTTTCACTTTTCTTTTTCTCAATCATTTGTTTTTATACACTCTCAACAGTGAGGAATAAAGACCGATGGTGATGGTGATAGAATTACCCAACGGCATATGTTTGTGGAGCAAAAAAACATCAAATGTTGTCGAGTTAAAACAGATCTATATCGATTGATCATACCGTCAACGACATTTTTTTGTCTAAACATTCACCCGAAAAAGTGATCATTATTCTTATATCGCCCTTCCTAACAGGAAATATTGTGATATAAGTGATACTTACCAACACGACTCGGCAGGTTGCTCATTATGAACTTAGCTTCTGTGTCGGTTTGGATCTCAACAAGATTAGCTCCCATGTCACTGCACCGGGTCTGAAGAGAGGATTACTTTAAACAGAATGTACGTGACAAAAAGAACATGATATGGTTACGAATGCATATTTTACTGATTCCTTTCTTATGGAGATTCGTAACTTAATTTAAAACACGAATAATGCATTTCTGAATAGTTTACAATCCGATTAATCTTATCCTCAAAAGAACATGAACATTTAGAGTTGGGTGATTGGTGACATTTTAAGTGATATTCTTTAATATAGTATAAGCTTTCAATATAGACTAACCATACGATATATACTATACGTTTATATTGATATATGATAAAGAACCGAAAAAAACATTAGCAACTAGATATATATAGGATTAAGTATAAACTGACCTCGCACATCGGATGATCAAATAAGGACAACGTAAGATTACATTCAACAGTCACAATAATGTTAGTTCGACTTCATCTGTAATATGCTAATACAGCATGAAACCCTGTAGGACAGTATCGAATATTGCTTTGGCCGATTTAATGGGGAGATGAAATGAATTGCTCTTTAGACAAATTCAATGAACTGTGAATGCTGGATTGTCTCAAGAGCAACTCTTTCCATCACCCCAGGAAATCGAAACTAAAACAAATATCAATAAAATAAAATTGTAATAATTGATTTTGTCGATTAATTTTGGATTTAATAAAAAAAAATTCTCTGGCAGCTACGCGGAAGAATAACGTCTACACTGAGATCTACGATCGTCTGTCGTTTCACTGGGCGGCAGCCGTATATGAATGGTCAGGGAGTGTGTTTTGTGATCTTTCTCAATGGCCTAAGTATCCATGGAATCACGAACTTAGTCAAGAAGCAGTTTTGTATTAAAATTAAAACTGGAAATGTATTCTGTAAACAACGGGAAAATTATGAACTGAACTATGAATGTGTCCATACTACAATGATTAGAGGATTTTAGATATTTTTGTAATGGAAATAGGCCTCATTTGTATAACTCACAATTGCTGTTGCCCATTCCGTTTTCTGGGAAGTTGAGGAGACATAATAACACTTTTCCGGGGACGTTATCCAGTCACTGTCACAGACAACTGGTGGCGGCGTGGTTGTGGTACTTGCTTTAAACAGAATGAAAGTCCATATTAGGTACACTGTGTTTCATCATACCTGTTAAATTTAAAATCAAAATAGCTTAGCCACTTTTGATTATCTGTCTAGCACTCATTAAACTAAATGTAAATATATTGTTTTCAGTTTCATATAATAAAATGCTTCGAAAACATTTCGTAATCTATTACATAATCAAATACATTTTTGATAATGTTATAATTCAGTCTTTGGAATGTCTCTTTAGATTTATGAAAACAGTAAAGATACAGAGAAAACGGTCAAGTATCAAGGAGTCGAAATTGTTGCATATATTCTGTATATAGTATATACTGTATTCTGGGTACAATATTTTCCATTTTGATATATAATTATGCAAAGAAAACAAGATCGAATTTCCTCACTATTTTTTGTTAAAACCATGGAAAATATCAATCATGATGTCTGACAATAAGATACATTATTCTTTAACATATTTGTAGGATAGATATTTATTTGATGTAAATATAACATGTAGTTGTGTACCAAGTATATGGCATCATCATTACATGTGAATGAAATGTGTGAAAACATGGATAAGAAATCCTATGGTGACACATTCGCCCCATTTGGTATTGTCTCTATCCTATTATAAGTGGCACCAGAGTGAATGCCATCATGTAGGTATAAGCAGTTCACCAATCACCATCCCCGATTGTTTTTTATATCGTCAGCAGTACGAGTGCGAAAAAGCGAAGACTACTAGGAGAGTTTAGTTGCATAAGATGGTAATGAATTCTGTTTACAAGAGCCATTAGGAACCATACATCTGGAACCTATTTCTGTCAAAAACATAAAGAATTTAGATTAAAGCCATATTTGAATTGAGAACACGCTATGACGTAGGAAAAAGGTCAACTATGTGATTTCAAAATATCATATTCGGATGATAAGAACAGTTAGATTTCAGTTTTTTAACCGCTTAACCAGGCATGTCATCTCCAACTTATTAAAATAGTATTGGATATATACATTGTGCATCAAATGACTGTACAGGTACTCTGATGGTGAACGCGAGATGTGTCTTACAGGTAGAATTTGCTGATATTGACACCTGTTCTACGAATAGTGAGAGAAAAACAAAACACTGAACAATAAATGGACAGGGATGAGTAATAGTGGTCCGAGGACTCCGAGGTTAGATATAACAAGTATAAAGATCGGGTCCAAGAGACTAGTTAAACGAATAGGAGTATTGGGGTTTTACGGTCAGAGCTGTGTAAAGATGCTTGGGTAATATTCGATATTTTGAATATTTATAGTACTAAATCCACGTCCTTTGACAGATGTTTATCCTAACATATAAACCCACTACACACGACGGTCTATCACCATTTATGTGAATAAATTTGTCTCGTTTAGTATCACTTAATACAATTATCATCATCTTACCGTCGCTGTCATCTCCTCCTAGTATCTCACGTAATTCCGCCTGCTCATTTTTCAAAAGCCGCATTTCATTTTCAAACCCAGACAGGATTTTGGAGAACGTCCTCAGTTCGTCAGACACAGATCGCCTAAAATCGTCAATTTCCGTTTGGTTACATTCACACTGATTGTCGGAGTTTGTGGTTCCTTCGATCTTGTCGACTCGTCTTTGTAACTGACATACTTTCTCATTCAAATTGAAGTAAGTGCCATTTAAAAGCCCTACAATCTCGCTTGTTAAACTTCTCTCCTCAAATTTCTCTATGTTGTCGTCATCGTCGTCGTCGTGGTGGTGGTTACAACATGCTCTATCGTACTTTGATACAAGAATCAAAACAGCTAAAAGTAAATACGACTTCATCGTTCTCTACTCCTGCCGTAGAATGATATGATATCTCTCCACGTATGGCTGTAGTCAAAATTGTAGTCACGTGATTTAACAGATATCATTGGTACCATTGTTAACGGATTCGTACTTTTATATCTGTATACTTGTATGTTCGGTGTCATCAGTATTTTACAACATACAAGACACAAAATGAATAAATAAGCACACACATACAATATTATTATAATAAATTGTATCACACGAACGCGTTTATCTATGATAAAACCCACATGGTGGGGCAAGTGTCCCTAGTGAATGACATGTTATATCTATTATCATACAACTTGGGATGATGATGATGATGGTGATGATGATGATGATGATGATGATACATCGGTACATGTGTATATCTATCAAATCTACCATAATGGCCCGTCTAGTTCTATGCAAACCAGATGAGAATATATCAGGCTATGAATGCCTGTTTGTGCGAGCGTATGAATACACATTCGGTGGTCAAGGTAATCTTGATAGATATAAATGTAATATTTATATTCTGTGTTACATTCATCTGTGTATCATAACTACGCCAAATCGTATTATATAAGACTGTATACTAGGATTTACAGTGATTCGGTCGGTGTTGGAATTAATCAATCTAGATTTTGCTAGGTAAAAAACAAAAACAATAACAACAAAAACTAAAAATAACTTCAATATTCAGTATACTGATATATTTGTCGACTCAATGTTACATGTCAATAAATGACTGATATTAAACATTGTTTTTATATGCAAAATATTACCTTTAGTAACCGAATTTGCACTATTGATGAAGCCGGTTCGGTTCTCCTGGTGCGGCGCGTTTCATTACGAGTGCGCCACGTGTGCGTTAACATTCTTAATAAACTGTGAGTTAAAATCCATCAGCTGTGTCGCGTGGAAATTGATACTGATTTAGTCCTGGAAGTTCTGACTTCCATTTCGGACACATGACTACCTGGTCTGTATGTACCCAATGCCGGTATATAAACATCATTATGATAACCTATCTAAATGTTTGGTATGTCATGGTTTGTAGCCCTTTACTTGGACGGACGTTTAACATTAAAGCTGACAATGCTAGTTTAAAAAATGTACAGATGAGTCTAAACATAGAAGTTTTTAACTTTCATTGTCAATTTAACACCAATCAAGACCATTTTGTATTTAAGTTATGTAGTTATTTGGTGCTCGCGCATGCGCTTCAAGCACAAAGTCGCAACTGGAAAAGGTCACACATGAAAATGCCACACTGGCGGGACAGCATCATTGAAGGCATGGAGTACAATTCAAACCAAAATGTTGGAACATTAGTTTAAGCCGACGAATGTTTCTGATATAGTAATATTCAAATCTAAAAAAAACCAATGCTAGCTTTCATCCATACTACAAATCTCAGAAAACGCTGCGATGATTGTAAGCGAACCAACGAAATGCCAGCCTTATACAAAAATGTACATAGAAACCAAGACCATCTCTGCATACCTTTTGACATTTAAGCACTAATGGTGGCGGGACGGTGATTTTTCCAGTAAACAATAGGCTACACAGCCTGGCAGAGAGATGTATTGTGTAACTATTCATCAAGTGTAGGCGTTTTTACAATATAGAACACATGTTAAGGTTTGACTTAATTATAGGAAATACAACTTGACGCCGAATCGGAAAATATTTCAGGTTTTCAAGCAGATTCTAATTCATTATATCAATGTATGAAGATGCATGTAAAAGTTATTTGGTTATAAAATCTCGATTTGATTCTTTGTCAATTGTATCTATCACATAATTATTCTGTTATGGAAGTAATTTTTGAAAACATGTGAACAAATCGGAAACAAACAAATACAAAACGTGAACATTTTATGTTTTTTATCATTATTATCATTATTCATTTATTTTCAAAGATTTTTCACTAAAATGAACATATTCAAGACAAATGCAAAACTTTCACACCATTCATACTATTGTAATTCCTACTTGCATCATCATCATCATCATCGTCATCATGATCACCATCACATAAAATGATGCATATATATATATATATATATATATATATATATATATATGCAACACACTGACATCCATGTAGTAAAGAAAAAGGATAGCTAAATACTGAACAAAGATAAATTATTTTTGAGAGAGGAAGAGAGAAAGAGAGGACGAGATCAAACAGCTACATTTGAGTTATAACCAGTGCGTGATTTGGGAGTAAAAAATGTTTTCTGGTATTCTCGTTAATAAATGTCCAAGTGAATTAGCATACACAATTCTGACTTACCTTGTCTATTTCTGCTGCTGTCATTGCTAAAAGTTATGCATTACAATGTAATATACCTACATAAAATTGTCAGGGGTAGGCAGGATCATGTTCAACTAGTTTCAACAATTGTTTTCCGTTCTGAAGTTATATTTTTAAGATATTGTTCACTTTTACCATAAACAATATATCTCTGGGCCCTGTAGTAATCTTGAATCAAATTAACAAGAACTGTAACATTGAGTGACTTGTGTACACATCTGGTTTTACTCTGCTTTATAAACGGAAAACCTTCAATATCAATTCTAATATAAATTCCATAGTTTTCTTATTTATTGAAAAGGGGATAGTGAGAGCTTCCAATAGATTTTCAAAATTCATCAAAACGTTCTGATTTCAGTCGAACATCAATGTTTTGATCCATTGTTAAGATTTCTTGAACTAAAATTTTCCAAGGTGTAACTTCATTTTCAAGTAATCTCTTTAACCATTTCAATTTTAAATATTTGATCAAAGAAATGATATGTGTCATTTTAAGGCCTCCATTTTCAAGCAAACCAATCAAGGTGTCCCCTTTTAATTTTTTTCACTTTTATAATTCCAAATAAACTTGTACAGTATGCTATTTAGTGAGCAATATTCTACTCCAGAACTTTATCAGAGCTTTAAGTTGAAATAACCTTTCATCAAAATTCAATTAAGTTATTTTGTAAAGATCTACACGAAAGTCAATCCCAGAGTAAATTTCTCAACACACCCTTCCTTTCTCCGTGTATACATAACTTCCCTAATTTCTCATTGCAACTTTGGAATAACTTTGGATAAAAATGCCCATTTTCTAAATTAAAAAGTAAGTGTCAACAGAGTCTATTATATCTGAATATATATAAACTGAGTCCATCGTGGTTTTATATATCTCAACAGAGTATATCATATCTAAATATATGTTAATTGAGTCTATCATATCTTAATATATGTAAACTGAGTCTGTTATATCTAAATACGTCTCTCTGAGTCTATCATATCTAAATATATGCAAAATGTTTCTATTATAACTAAATATATCTCAACCGAGTCTATCATATCTAAATATATGTAAATTGAGTCTATCATATCTAAATATATGCTTATTGATTCTATCATATCTTAATATATGTAAACTGAGTATGTTATATCTAAATACAACTCTCTGAGTCTATCATATCTTAATATATGCAAAATGTTTCTATTATAACTAAATAAAGGTGAACAGACTCTACCATATATATTTATATATAAACTAAGGCTATCATATCTAAATATATCTAAACGGACTTTATCATTTCTTAATATTTCTAAACTGAGCCTATCATATCTAAAATATGTAAAATGAGTCTATCATATCTAAATGTACATCAACAGAGTCTATGATACCTAAATATATCTAATCAAGTCTATCATATCTATATATATATATATATATATATCTCCAGAGATATTATCATATCTAAAGATATATGATATAGGTCTATAAAACCTAAATATATGTAAACTGAGGCTATCATATCTAATCATTTGTACATTGATTCTATCAGATCTAAATACATGTCAACACCTAAATATCTGTAAACTGTATCTATTGTGGCCCAATATATGTAAACTGAGTATGTCGTGGATCAATTTATCTCAACAGAGTTTGTAATATCTAATTAAATATTAACAGAGTTAATCATATCTAAATACATATTAACTGAGTCTATCATATCTAAATACATATTTATGATGAGCAGTTCTCATGTACATCAGCATATGATACAATAGAGAACATCAAACAGTGTGAAAGATAACCAGTAAAACAGATGTGTGAAATGATACTGGCCGTTTATAACAGAAAACGACATAAAATAAAAACATGTGTACAAGACCATGTTACATCACAATGGAATTGAGTTACATGAATATACATGTATAATTACACAAACTAACTCATTATGTGAAGGAGGGGGCCAAAAGCGCCACCTTGGGAAATAGAGTAGGGACAAAGATGTATAAATAACAAAATTGTATGACTCTTTGATCAAACTCAATGCAGCCAACTCCGATAACATAAGGTCATTGGTGAACATACAAAGGTATTAGGATGTGGACATATATCAAAATAAAACCAAATGCCAAACCCAATTGAGAGTGACGTACAGACCACAGCAATTCAGCGAAAAAAGTCATGATATTGTAAACATCATGAGGTAGAGGAAGGCAAGCCTTACTAAGCCATCTGTGGTCATGGTGAAGAATACTATTATGCAGAAATGGTATGGCAAACCATGAATATTTTGGCATAAATAACAAGAAAAGTCACCCCGTTAATGCTTTGTTTGCCACGAATGTCAAGAACAGACCGACGGCTCGGAAGAAAAGAACAAACCATTTCAGTATATCAAAATTATGTAACACAATTCATGTCCAGCAGTAAGGACCAACATACTTTGATGAAACGGCATAGTCAGTACACGTGTGGCTATCCTCAATGATGCATCAATGGTAGGAGTAATTGTATCGTATATCACAGGTTCTGGAGTGTCACCGAAAAGGTGAATGAAGGATCCTTAACAGGTATACCAGCTCAAAACGTTTTATAATTAATAGTAACAAAAACATATAATGTACCTGGTTGAATGAAAGAAAATGCTTCCAATGTATATGGTACAGTCATGGAAGAAAATTAAAATGTGTGTTAACTTAATGATAAGTACAAAATGTAAGTGTAATACAACACCAGCAATGATTGAAATATGAACAAGATCTGGAATAGAACATTGTAAAACACAGTGGTTGGTGTTTGGGTTTGGAGTCCGCCATATTTGTGTCAATCAACTGTTGTTTCGTCGGAGCACGAGGAACATTTCGATCGCAGTCTATAATGACAATGTACATCAAGTGAACCAGCTATTGAAATCTGTGTTAGCGGATAAGTCGGATATGCATTACCACAAACATAGGAGATTAAAGAACAGTAGCGAGGATATTTTCCTATCAGATGGGTCCATTTGAACAGGTTCGGTATCCTTAGGTATTATCGCAGTGTGCGGGGTGCAGCCATCAAGTCGTACCGAACAATCCAGGGTCGAATTACACAGTAAGTACGGCTTATTCGGACGGTTGTCTCGTCTGTTTCTTACATAATAATAAAAATATTTCCATATCCAGGGAGTTTAGAGCAATTTCTATGATCAAATTAAAAGTAAATATAAAAAATGGAGGGATCTATATAAGTTTTGAGGGCACATCAATGAAATTCGATCAGGTCAGAAGCGACAGTTTGTTTGAAACGGATTCTACATTTTTAATTTGGGCCTGTCCGATCGACGTCTACTGTAGCAGATGAAGTTGACAAAATTGATAATCTTTTGTGTTATGGTGATAATTATGATTTTGATCAATCATATGCTTGACAAAAAATTTGTTCTGTTAAAATTTGATGGCTTTGTTAAGTTACTGATTTTTTGTGAAGGAACTTCGGATATATCAGTATATTGAATATTGAAGTTAAAGTGACCGGCGGTCAGTTGTTTTTTTTTTTTTTTTAATTTTTCTATCTTTTGTTTTTAGTATTTTTACTTAGCAAAAATCTAGATTGATTGATTCCAACACCGACCGAATCACTGTAACTTATAATATACAGTCATATATACTATAATTTGGTGTAGTTATGATATTCAGATGAATGTAACACAGAATGTAAATATTACATTTATATCTGTCAAGATTACCTTGACCACCGAATGTGTATTCATACGCTCGCACAAACAGGTATTCATAGCCTGATATATTCTCATCAGGTTTGCATAGAACTAAACGGGGAATGGTAGTAGATTGGAAACGTATACACATGTACCGATGTATCATCATCATCATCATCATCATCATCATCATCATCATCATCATCATCATCCTCAGTTGTATAATAAATATACCATGCCATTCACTAGTGACAACCATGTGGGTTATCTGATACATTCTGGTTCTCACCCATATTGGACTTCCGCGTACATACATACCGGCAAGTAAGAGTGAAGCAGCTTATTTTTTGTCGAATCTAGGTAACGAGTTCGTGTTATACAATTCATTATAATAATATTGTATGCGTGTGCTTATTTATTCATTTTTTGTCTTGTATGTTGTAAAATACTGATGACACCGAACATACAAGTATACAGATATAAAAATACGAATACGTTAACAATGGTACCAATGATATCTGTTAAACCACGTGACTACAATGTTTACTACGGCCATACGTGGAGAGAAATTATATAATTCTACGGCAGGAGTACAGAACGATGAAGTCGTATTTACTTTTAGCTGTTTTGATTCTGGTATCAAAGTACGATGAAGCGTGTTGTGACAATCACCACCACCACCACGACGACGATGACGACAACATAGAGAAATTGAAGAGAAGTTTAACAAGCGAGATTGTAGGGCTTTTAAATGGCACTTACTTCAATTTGAATGAGAAGGTATGTCAGTTACAAAGACGAGTCGACAAGATCGAAGGAACCACAAACTCCGACAATCAGTGTGAATGTAACCAAACGGAAATTGACGATTTTAGGCGATCTGTGTCTGACGAACTTAAGACGTTCTCCAAAATCCTGTCTGGGTTTGAAAATGGAATGCGGCTTTTGAAAGATGAGCAGGCGGACTTACGTAAGCTACTAGAAGGAGAGGACAGCGACGGTAAGATGATGATAATTGTATTAAGTGATACTAAACGAGACAAATTTATTCACATAAATGGTGGTAGACCGTCGTGTGTAGTGGGTTTATATGTTAGGATAAACATTTGTCAAAGGACGTGGATTGAGTACTATAAATATTCAAAATGTCGAATATTACCCAAGCGTCTTTAAACAGCTCTGACCGTAAAACCCCAATACTCCTATTCGTTTAACTGATCTCTTGGACCCGATCTTTATACTTATATCTAACCTCGGAGTCTTCGGACCACTTTTACTCATCCCTGTCCATTAAGTGTTAATGTTTTGTTTTTCTCTCACTATTCGTCGAACAGGTGTCACTATAAGCAAATTTTACCTGTAAGACACATCTCGCGTTCACCATCAGAGTACCTGTACAGTCATTTGATGCACAATGTATATATTTAACACTGTTTTGATAACTTGGCAGACGACACGCCTGGTTATAAGCATCAACGATTTAGTGTTAAAAAAACTGGAACCTAACTGTTCTTATCATCCGAATCTGAGATTTCGAAATCACATAGTTGACCTTTTTCCTACGCCATGGCGTGTTCTCAATTCAAATCTGGCTTGAACCCAAGTTCTTTATGTTTTTGACAGAAATACTTTCCAGATGTGTGGTTGCTAATGGCTCTTGTTGACAAAATTCATTACCATTTTATACAACTGAACTCTCCTAGTAGTCTTCACTTTTTCGCACTCGTACTGCTGACGATATAAAAAACAATCGGGGATGGTGATTGGTGAACTATTTATACCTACATGATTGCATTCACTCTGGTGCCACCTACAATAGGATAGAGACACTGCCTAATGTGGTGAATGTGTCACCATAGTATTTCTGATCCATGTTGTCACACATTTCATTCACAAGTAATGATGATGCCATATACTTGGTACACAACTACGTGTAATATTACGTCAAATAAATATCTTTCTTAAAAATATGTGAAAGAAAAATGTATCTAATTGTCAGACATCATGATTGATATTTTCCGTGTTTTTAACAAACACTAGTGAGGAAATTCGATCTTGTTTTCTTTGCATAATTATATATCAAAATGGAAAATATTGTACCCTAAATACAGTATATACTATATACAAAACATATGCAGCAATTTCGACTCCTTAATACCTGACAGATTTCTCTGTATCTTTACTGTTTTTTATGAATCTAAAGAGACATTCCAAAGACTGAATTATAACATTATCAAAAATGTATTTGATGATCTCATAGATAACGTAATGTTTTCGAAGCATTTTATTATATGAAACTGAAAACAATATATTTACATTTAGTTTAATGAGTGCTAGACAGATAATCAAAAGTGGCTAAGCTATTTTGATTTTAAATTTAACAGGTATGATGAAACACAGTGTACCTAATATGGACTTTCATTCTGTTTAAAGCAAGTACCACAACCACGCCGCCACCAGTTGTCTGTGACAGTGACTGGATAACGTCTCCGGAAAAGTGTTATTATGTCTCCTCATCTTCCGAGAAAACGGAATGGGCAACAGCAATGGTGAGTTATATAAATGTGGCTTATTTCCATTACAAAATATTAAACATTCTCTAAACATTGTAGTATGGACACATTCATACTTCAGTTAATAATTTCCCCGGTGTTTACAGAATATATTTCCATGTTTCGATATCTGCTTGAGATCTGAGTGAAGTGTACATGTTGTCGTCTGCCACAATTTTCTTTAACTTTCCATTACACAAAAATGAAAATCTCCACCAAGACCAAGATAATCCTATAAGCGATTTTAATACAAAAACTGCTTCTTGACTAAGTTCGTGATGCTATGGATACTTAGGCCATTGAAAAAGATCACAAAATACACTCCCTGACCATTCATATACGGCTGCCGCCCAGTGAAACGACAGACGATCGAAAATCTCAGTGTAGACGTTATTCTTCCGCGTAGCTGCCAGAGAATTATTTTATTAAATCCAAAATTAATCGACAAAATCAATTATTACAATTTTATTTTTTTAATCTGCCTTTTTAGTGGGGGTGATGAAAAGAGTTGCTCTTGAGACAATCCAACATTCAAACGTCATCGAATTTGTCATTTCATCGACAAAAGCAATATTCGATACTGTCCTACAGGGTTTCATGCTGTATTAGCATATTACAGATGAAGTCGAACTAACGTTATTGTGACAGTTGAATGTAATCTTACGTTGTCCTTATTTGATCATCCGATGTGCGAGGTCAGTTTATACTTAATCCTATATATATTTAGTTGCTAATGTTTTTTCGGTTCTTTATCATATATCAATATAAACGTATAGCATATATCGTATGATTAGCCTATATTCATAGCTTATAACATATTGAAGAATATCACTTAAAATGTCACCAATCACCCAATTCTAAATGCTCATGTTCTTTTGAGGATAAGATTAATCAGATTGTAAACTGTTCAGAAATGCATTATTCGTGTTTTAAATTAAGTTACGAATCTCCATATGAAAGGAATCGGTGAAATATGCATTCATAACCAGAACATGTCATTTTTGTCACGTACATACTGTTTAAAGTAATTCTCACTTCAGGCCCGGTGCAGAAACATGGGAGCTAATCTTGTTGAGATCCAAACCAACACAGAAGCTAAGTTCATAATGAGCAACCTGCCGAGTCGTGTTGGTAATTTCACTTATATCACAATATTTCCTGTTAGGAAGGGCGATATAAGAGTAATGATCACTTTTCCGGGTAGATGTTTAGACAAAAAATGTCGTTGACAGCATGATCAAATGATATCAATCTGTTTTAACTCGACAACATTTGAAGTTTTTGTGCTCCACATACATCATCATCATCATCATCATCATCATCATCATCATCATCAGTCTTTATTCCTCAATGTTGAGAGTGTATAAAAACAAATGATTCAGAATAAGAAAAGTGAAAAGCCTTATAATTGTTCTTTGTAGATAAAGGTTACATTTCCGAAATGATAATCATGAGCTGATACACGCGTCTTTATATTTTTATTTTCATAAACTTCTCCATTGGCTATTTTCAGGAAACACTGACATTATATACACCGGACGTAAAAAAAATTTGGCGAACAACTGGGTTTTTCTTAGCAACAACCAGATAGTAGATACGAACGTGAGGACCTGGGCAAGTGGTCAACCAGACGGCGGGACCCAACGGTGTGGTTGTACCCGACAGTCAGACAACTTTCTGATGTTGGACTGTTTCTGTACTGGATTCAACCTATTCTATATCTGTGAAATTAGGCGTTAGTAGCTACTGTCCACGAGTACGTCGCATAGTGCAGAAATGGATGTAATAATTTCTTTAAGAAATCTTAGTCTGATCTTAGGTGAAAGTTACTACACCAATGTGATGATTTTCACTGTCATAATAAAAATCTGATTTGCAATGCTTGAAAATGTTATCATTTCAATATATGTATAGATCTGTGCTTTTTGAGTGTTTACATTTTTAAGTGATAATCAATGTTAATATGTATTACAATCATTCAGATTGCCAATTGATTATAAGAGCACGGACCACCCTTGTAAGAGGAGGTTTTAGCAGCTAGAAATCGGTGGGATAATTTGAACCTTTGGGAGTCGGAGGTGGTGGTCGATTTCCTCGGTAAATGTGACAGTTCAGACATTAACATCTCAAGTGTTTTCGTCTTAACTGCTCACCAGCCCAATGTTGTACGTTTGCAAATCGGGGGTGTTGATATCGACAGGTATGGTACTGACCCAAACCAGGTAGCGAGAAGTATCTTATCGGTAGTACAGTGGATGGTGTTTGGGTTTGGAGTCCGCCATGTTTGTGTTATGCAACTGTTGTTTCGTCGGAGCACGAGGAACTTTTCGGTCGCAGTTTATAATGACAATGTAAATCAAGTGAACTAGCTATTGAAATCTGTGTTAGCGGATAAGTCGGATATGCATTACCACAAACATAGGGGATTAAAGAACAGTAGCGAGGATATTTTCCTACCAGATGGGGTCCATCTGAACAGGTTCGGTATCCCTTGGTATTATCGCAGTGTGCGGGGTGCAGCCATCAAGTCGTACCGAACAATCCAGGGTCGAATTACACAGTAAGTAGGGCTTATTTGGACGGTTGTCTCGTCTGTTTCTTACATAGTCTATGTTTCATGTGTTTTTAAGTATTTTCGGCGACCGCGGACGTAACGGTGATCATGACAGATACCTATTTTGTGGGAATCAGTTTGTAGTCAAAGGGGCATAACTCTTATCGGCTAATTGTTTACCCTGTGGTTTCATTTGATTTTTTAGCTGTATGTTGTACTATCAAATAGTCATAATTACTTTCGCTCCGTTAACTAGTGAATGGCGTGGATCCAGCATTTCAATTCAATAATGAGTCATGTTTTAATATTTCTGTTCTTATCTTGGATAACAAATTGTTATTTATGTTTTTGGTTGATCACCAATATCATAAACAGATCTTTTGGGCCCAGGAAACACATTTCTCGCATATAAGGACTGGGTAAATCTCCATCAGTATCGTTTTATCTGTTTCCCATAATTTTGACATGGTTTTTCTGCTTTGCATACTTTTGACATAAGCGGGACTGCATAGATCCCATTGTTTTGTCTTGCATACCATGATATGATATTCATATAACACCTGCTCAGTAGGCCTTTCTTGTCACATTTTGGCTGTAAAAATTACACAACCAACATCTGTTTGATATGAAATGTACAAATCACTTCTTGGCTATGCTTTTCATCGGGGATGCATTTTTCCTATATAGCTTTATGGGCATATATGCAGGTCCATCAGTCATGTGAAAGGTTTTTGTTATATCTACATGTTTCTAAGCTTTTTCTTTTTCCTTCTTTGCGGTGTCGGGGCTAGATTCAGCTTACGCAACCACTAGTCTCAGCATTCGTGACTGAACTGCTTGCCCAAATGAGACGGGAGCACCTGGTGGTCCCACAAGCTTCAGTTCCTGCAGCAACCCCAACCCAAACTGTCATTCAGGTTAAGCCAGAGTTGGCAGGACCGTTAATGAAATATGCGAATATTATTCAGTAACTGACATAAAGGGCGGGAGACCAGGCAGCCTTCTTTCATGATACCAAATTCCGTATGTGGCGTGAAAAAGATCCGATTCACCTGCCTTATGATCAGGCTAATGCTGAACTGTACCTGGTGGCTGTGACCCATAATTTTTTTTGTACAGCCTAATGGGAAATCAGGTTCTTACCAAGTTTTCTGTAATACCTTAAAGAATGTTCTAATTGTAGCAGGGTATCAATCTGATGCGTTTATGAGTCACAGCTTTAGAATTGGTGTAGCAAGTTGGGCTGCCAGCCATTGTGTATCGGAAGCTGATATACAAGCTATGGACAGGTGGCATTCCAATGTATTCAAGCAGTAAATACGTTTTCCAGTCCTAGAGATCTTAAGGCTATTCGTTATAGGATGGCTTTAGATACAGGCCATTCTTGCCACCATAGGTACCTTACTGTTGTTTACAGGGGTTTTCTATCCAAAATATGTGTTTTCATAGAGTTTGTCCATTTTGAACATTGTAACACAGTTTTTGTTGTTTGCATTAACAAGTGCTGCATTAGGTGCATGGCATCCCTGCAACTCTTATTTTTATGTTTTACAATGTTCTACTCCAGATCTTGTACATATTTCAATCATTGCTGGTGTTGTATTACACTTACATTTTGTACTTATCATTAAGTTTAACACACAGTTTAATTTTCTTCCATGACTGTACCATATACATTGGAAGCATTTTTTTTCATTCAACCAGGTACATTATATATTTTTGTTACTATTAATTATAAAATGTTTTGAGCTGGTGTACCTGTTAAGGATCCTTCATTCACCTTTTCGGTGACACTTCAGAACCTGTGATATACGATACAATTACCACTACCATTGGTGCATCCTTGAGGATAGCCAAACGTGTACTGACTATGCCGTTTCATCAAAGTATGTTGGTCCTTACTGCTGGACATGACTTGTGTTACATAATTTTGATATACTGAAATGATTTGTTCTTTTCTTCTGAGCCAATTGTCTGTTCCTGACATTCGTGCCAAACAAAGCATTGGACATCCTAATACCTTTGTATGTTCACCAGTGACCTTATGTGAGTGGGGGCTCGAAATTTGAGAAATTGAAAGATAGTTTTAACTGAAAGCTCTGATAAAGTTCTGGAGTAGAATATTGCTCACTAAATAGCATACTGTACAAGTTTATTTGGAATCATCAAAGTGGAACAAATTAAAAGGGGATACATATTGGTTTGCTAGAAAATGGAGGCCTTAAAATGACACATATCATTTCTTTTATCAAATATTTAAAATTGAAATGGTTAAAGAGGTGACTTGAAAATGAAGTTACACTTCAGTTCAAGAAATCTTAACAATGGATCCAAACATTGATGTTCGACTGAAATCAGAACGTTTTGATGAATTTTGAAAATCTATTGGAAGCTCTCACTATCCCCTTTTCAATAAATAAGAAAACTATGGAATTTATATTAGAATTGATATTGAAGATTTTCCGTTTATTAAGCAGTGTAAAACCAGATGTGTACACAAGTCACTCAATGTTACAGTTCTTGTTAATTTGATTCAAGCTTACCACAGGGTCCAGGAATATATCGTTTATGGTAATAGGGAACAATATCTTAAAAACATAACTTCAGAACGGAAAACAATAGTTGAAATTAGTTGTACGTTATCTTGCCCAATGCATAATTTGTAGCAATGACATCAGCAGACGTAGACAGTGTAAGTCAGAATTGTGTATGCTAATTCACTTTGACATTTATTTACGAGAGTACCAGAAAACTTTTTTGACTCCCAAGATCACACACTGGTTATAACTCAAATGTAGCTGTTTGATCTCTTCCTCTGTTTCTCTCTTCCTCTCTAAAAAATAGTTCTTTTTTCTTATTTTTTTAGCTATTTTTTTTCTTTACTACATGTATGTCAGTGTGTTGCATGCGTATGTTTGGTTAATGTAGGCTATATGTTTGAGTAAATATGTGTGGTATAGGTTGTGAACATATGTAGAAGTGAGGATGTGTGTATAGGGGTATTTGTGTGAATAAACATTGCGTATATATATGCATCATTTTATATGTATGAACTTGATGACAATGATGATGATGATGATGATGATGATGATGATGATGATGCAAGTAGGAATTATAATGGTGTGAATGGTGTGAAAGACACATTTGTCTTGAATATTTATATTTTTATTGAAAAATCTTTGAAAATAAATGAATAATAATAATAAAAAACATAAAATTTTCACGTTTTGTATTGGTGTGTTTCCGATTTGTATATCTGTTGTTTTTTTTTTCTCAAAAATTACTTCCAGAACAGAATAATTATGTGATAGATACAATTGACAAAAAATCAAAACGAGATTTTATAATTAAATAGCTTTTAAATGCATCTTCATACATTGATATAATGAGTTAGGATCTGCTTGAAAACCTGAAACATTTTGCGATTCGGCGTCAAGTTGTATTTCCTTTAAGTAAGTCAAACCTTAACATGTGTTCTAGATTGTGAAAATGCCTAGACTTGATGAATAGTTACATATTATATATATCTGCCAGGCTGTATAGCCTGTTGTTTACTGGAAAATCACCGTCCCGCCACCATTGGTACTTAAATGTCAAGATGTATGCAGAGACAGTCATGGTTTCTATGTACAATTTTGTATAGGGCTGGCATTTCGTTGGTGTGTAATGGAAAATCAATTAACTAATAGTATGAATGAAAGTTAGCATTGATTTTAAGATTTGTATATTTACTATATTAGAAACATTCGTCAGCTTAAACCAATGATTCCAACATTTGGTTAGAATTGTACACCATGCCTTCAATGTTACTGTCCTGCCAGTGTGGTATTTTCATGTGTGACCACCTACAAGACGTGATACAAGCAGTACAAATCATTGTTACAAAGGCTCAAACTGTTATCACTTCAATAGTTCAATAAAAAATACACATACGTAATACATACATAATATTAAAAAAAATCGAAAACAAGGAGGAGATAGGGGTTGGAGGCACGTATTTTAAAAATAGCACTTTGCTTCTTACCTTTATCCTCAAGTCGATTTTCTAAAGTGACGCTATCGATGGTAACGTGATATGATATCCATCCGCGGATGGAGAAGTTTAGATACGAAAGGAAAGTTAGAAAAGTTATGAAGCACCTCCGCCATCCGAATATAATGCACAATAAATAAATCGAACTCACATCAAAAATGTATTTAAATTAACATCGTATTTAGTTATTATTTATGATAAACAATTCCCATGTACATCAGCATTTGATATAATAGAGAACATCAAACATTGTGAAAGATAACCAGTAAAACGGAAGTGTGAAATGATACTGGCCGTTTATAACAGAAAACGACATCAAATAAAAACATGTATACAAGACCATGTTACATCACACTGGAACTGAGTTACATGTATGCATAGATAATTACACAAACTAACTCATTATGTGAAGAAGGGGGGCAAAAGCGCCAAACTCAATGCAGTCAACACCGATAACATAAGGTCACCGGTGAACATACAAAGGTATAAGGATGTGGACATATATCAAAATAAAAACAAATGCCAAACAAAATTGAGCGTAAAAAGTCATGATATTGTATGATATGAGGTAGAGGAAAGCAAGCCTTACTAAGACATCTTTGGTCATAGTGAAGAATACTATTATGCAGAAATGGTATGGCAAACCATGAATATATTGGCACAAATACGAGAAAAGTCACCCCGTTAATGCTTTGTTTGTTACGAATGTCAAGAACAGACCGATGGCTCGGAAGAAAAGAACAAACCATTTCAGTATATCAAAAGTAAGGTACCCATGGTGGCAAGAATGGCCTGCATCTAAAGCCATCCTATAACCAATAGCCTTTAGATCTCTAGGACTGGAAAACGCATTTACTGCTTGAATACATTGGAATGCCACCTGTACATAGCTTGTAAATCAACTTCCGACACACAATGGCTGGCAGCCCAACTTGCTACACCAATTCTAAAGCTGTGACTCCTAAACGCATCCGATTGATACCCTGCTACGATTAGAACATTCTTTAAGGTATTACAGAAAACTTGGTAAGAAACTGTTTTCCCATTAGAAATGTCCGACAAAAGATTTTGGGTCACAGCCTCCACGGGAGAGATATGCATTAGCCTGATCATAAGGCAGGTGAAACGATGAAGTCGTATTTACTTTTAGCTGTTTTGATTCTTGTATCAAAGTACGATAGAGCATGTTGTAACCACGACCACGACGACGACGATGACGACAACATAGAGAAATTTGAGGAGAGAAGTTTAACAAGCGAGATTGTAGGGCTTTTAAATGGCACTTACTTCAATTTGAATGAGAAGGTATGTCAGTTACAAAGACGAGTCGACGCGATCGAAGGAACCACAAACTCCGACAATCAGTGTGAATGTAACCAAACGGAAATTGACGATTTTAGGCGATCTGTGTCTGACGAACTGAGGACGTTCTCCAAAATCCTGTCTGGGTTTGAAAATGAAATGCGGCTTTTGAAAAATGAGCAGGCGGAATTACGTGAGATACTAGGAGGAGATGACAGCGACGGTAAGATGATGATAATTGTATTAAGTGATACTAAACGAGACAAATTTATTCACATAAATGGTGATAGACCGTCGTGTGTAGTGGGTTTATATGTTAGGATAAACATCTGTCAAAGGACGTGGATTTAGTACTATAAATATTCAAAATATCGAATATTACCCAAGCATCTTTACACAGCTCTGACCGTAAAACCCCAATACTCCTATTCGTTTAACTAGTCTCTTGGACCCGATCTTTATACTTGTTATATCTAACCTCGGAGTCCTCGGACCACTATTACTCATCCCTGTCCATTTATTGTTCAGTGTTTTGTTTTTCTCTCACTATTCGTAGAACAGGTGTCAATATCAGCAAATTCTACCTGTAAGACACATCTCGCGTTCACCATCAGAGTACCTGTACAGTCATTTGATGCACAATGTATATATCCAATACTATTTTAATAAGTTGGAGATGACATGCCTGGTTAAGCGGTTAAAAAACTGAAATCTAACTGTTCTTATCATCCGAATATGATATTTTGAAATCACATAGTTGACCTTTTTCCTACGTCATAGCGTGTTCTCAATTCAAATCTGGCTTTAATCTAAATTCTTTATGTTTTTGACAGAAATAGGTTCCAGATGTATGGTTCCTAATGGCTCTTGTAAACAGAATTCATTACCATCTTATGCAACTAAACTCTCCTAGTAGTCTTCGCTTTTTCGCACTCGTACTGCTGACGATATAAAACAATCGGGGATGGTGATTGGTGAACTGCTTATACCTACATGATGGCATTCACTCTGGTGCCACTTATAATAGGATAGAGACAATACCAAATGGGGCGAATGTGTCACCATAGGATTTCTTATCCATGTTTTCACACATTTCATTCACATGTAATGATGATGCCATATACTTGGTACACAACTACATGTTATATTTACATCAAATAAATATCTATCCTACAAATATGTTAAAGAATAATGTATCTTATTGTCAGACATCATGATTGATATTTTCCATGGTTTTAACAAAAAATAGTGAGGAAATTCGATCTTGTTTTCTTTGCATAATTATATATCAAAATGGAAAATATTGTACCCAGAATACCGTATATACTATATACAGAATATATGCAACAATTTTGACTCCTTGATACCTGACCGTTTTCTCTGTATCTTTACTGTTTTCATAAATCTAAAGAGACATTCTAAAGACTGAATTATAACATTATCAAAAATGTATTTGATTATGTAATAGATTACGAAATGTTTTCGAAGCATTTTATGATATGAAACTGAAAACAATATATTTACATTTAGTTTACTGAGTGCTAGACAGATAAACAAAAGTAGTTAAGCTATATTGATTTTAACTTTAACAGGTATAATGAAACACAGTGTAAATAATATGGACTTTCATTCTGTTTAAAGCAAGTACCACAACCACGACGCCGACTCCCGTTCCACCAGTGGTCTGTGACAGTGACTGGATAACGTCCCCGGAAAAGTGTTATTATGTCTCCTCAACTTCCCAGAAAACGGAATGGGCAACAGCAATTGTGAGTTATACAAATGAGGCCTATTTCCATTACAAAAATATCTAAAATCCTCTAATCATTGTAGTATGGACACATTCATAGTTCAGTTCATAATTTTCCCGTTGTTTACAGAATACATTTCCAGTTTTAATTTTAATACAAAACTGCTTCTTGACTAAGTTCGTGATTCCATGGATACTTAGGCCATTGAGAAAGATCACAAAACACACTCCCTGACCATTCATATACGGCTGCCGCCCAGTGAAACGACAGACGATCGTAGATCTCAGTGGAGACGTTATTCTTCCGCTGCCAGAGAATTTTTTATCAAATCCAAAATTAATCGACAAAATCAATTATTACAATTTTATTTTATTGATATTTGTTTTAGTTTCAATTTCCTGGGGTGATGGAAAGAGTTGCTCTTGAGACAATCCTGCATTCACAGTTCATTGAATTTGTCTAAAGAGCAATTCATTTCATCTCCCCATTAAATCGACAAAAGCAATGTTCGATGCTGTCCTACAGGGTTTCATGTTGTATTAGCATATTACAGATGAAGTCGAACTAACGTTATTGTGACAGTTGAATGTAATCTTACGTTGTCCTTATTTGATCATCCGATGTGCGAAGTCAACTTATATTTAATCCTATATATATCTAGTTGCTAATGTATTCCAGTTCTTTATCATATATCAATATAAACGTATAGTATATATCGTATGATTAGCCTATATTGAAAGCTTATACTATATTAAAGAATATCACTTAAAATGTCACCAATCACCCAACTCTAAATGTTCATGTTCTTTTGAGGATAAGATTAATCGGATTGTAAACTATTCAGAAATGCATTATTCGTGTTTTAAATTAAGTTACGAATCTCCATAAGAAAGGAATGAGTAAAATATGCATTCGTAACCAGATCATGTTATTTTTGTCACGTACATTCTGTTTAAAGTAATTCTCACTTCAGACCCGGTGCAGAAACATGGGAGCTAATCTTGTTGAGATCCAAACCAACACAGAAGCTAAGTTCATAATGAGCAACCTGCCGAGTCGTGTTGGTAAGTATCACTTACATCACAATGTTTCCTGTTAGGAAAGGACGATATAAGAATAATGATCACTTTTCCAGGCTGATGTTTAGACAAAAAAGAGTCGTTGACGGCATGATCAATTGATATAGATCTGTTTTAACTCGACAACATTTAAAGTTTTTGTGCTTCATATCCATATGCAGTTGGGTAATTTTATCATCATCATCAGTCTTTATTCCTCACTGTTGAGGGTGTATAAAAACAAATGATTCAGAATAAGAAAAGTGAAAAGCCTTATAATTGTTCTTTGTAGATAAAGGTTACATTTCCAAAATGATAATGATGAGCTGATACATGCTTCTTTATATTTTTATTTTCAAAAACTTCTCCATTGGCTATTTTCAGGATACAATGACATTATATACACCGGACGTAAAAGAAATGAGGCGAACAACTGGGTTTTTGTTAGCAACGACCAGGGAATCAATACTTCCGTGAGGACATGGGCATATGATGAACCAGACGGCGGGAACCAACGGTGTGGTTGTACCCGCCAGTCAGACAGCTTTCTGATGTTGGATTGTTTGTGTACTGGATTTAACCTATTCTATATCTGTGAAATTAGGCGTTAGTATATACGGTCCAAAAGTATGTCACATAGTGCAGAATTGGATGTAATAATTTCTTTTAGAAATCTTAGTCTGATCTTAGGTGAAAGTTACTACACCAATGTGATGATTTTCACTGTCATAATAAAATCTGATTTGCAATGCTTGAAAATGTTATCATTTCAATATTCCTGTATAGATCTGTGCTTTTTGAGTGTTTACATGTTTTAAGTGATAATCAATGCTAATATGTATTACAATCATTCAGATTGCCAGTTAATTATAAGGGTAGGGACCACCCAGCCCGATGTTATACTTTTGCACATCGGTGGTAATGATATCGACAGTTGTGGTACTGATCCTAACCAGGTAGCGAAAAGTATCTTATCGGTAGCACAGTGGATGGTGTTTGGGTTTGGAGTCCGCCATGATTGTATCATGCAACTGTTGCTTCGTCGGAGCACGAGGAACATTTCGGTCGCAGTTTATAATGACAATGTACATCAAGTGAACCAGCTATTGAAATCTGTGTTAGCGGATAAGTCGGATATGCATTACCACAAACATAGGAGATTAAAGAACGGTAGCGAGGATATTTTCCTACCAGATGGGGTCCATCTGAAAAGGTTCGGTATCCATAGGTATTATCGCAGTGTGCGGGGTGCAGCCATCAAGTCGTACCGAACAATCCAGGGTCGAATTACACAGTATGTAGGACTTATTTGGACGGTTGTCTCGTCTGTTTCTTACATAGTCTATGTTTCATGTGTTTATAAGTATTTTCGGCGATCGCGGACTTAACGGTGATCATGATAGATGCCTATTTTTGGGAATCAGTTAGTAGTCAAAAGGGCATAACTCTTATCGGCTAATTGTTTACCCTGTAGTTTCATTTTCTTTTTTAGCTGTATGTTGAACTATCAAATAGTCATGGTTAATTTCGCTCCGTTAACTAGTGAATGGCGTGGATCCCGCAATTGAATTCAATAATGAGTCATGTTTTAATATTTCTGTTCTCATCTTGGATAACACATTGTTATTTATCTTGGTTGATCAACAATGTTATAAACAGATCTATTGGGCCCAGGAAACACATTTCTCGCCTATAAGGACAATGTAAAGCTCTGTCAGTATCGTTTTTATCTGTTTCCCATAATTTTGACATGATTTTTCTGCTTCGCATACTTTTGACAGAAGCGGGATTGCATGGGTCACATTTTTTTTTTTTTTTTTGTCTTAATTACATTATTGGGACAGAGGTTGGTCTGTACAGGTCCCAATGCTTTGTCTGATTCGCATAATGGGACAAAGGTGGGATTGTATAGGTCACATTATTTTGTCTTCATTTGGACATAGGTGGGACTGCAAAGGTCCCATTGTTTTGTCTGCTTCGAATATTTGGACATAGGTGGGACTACAAAGGCCCCATTGTTTTGTTCGCCTGGAATAATGGGACATAGGTGTGACTGCATAGGTCCCATTCTTTCGTCTGATTCACATTATTGAGACATAGGTGGGACTGCATATATTTCATTGTTTTGTTTTGCATACCATGATATGATATTCATATAACACCTGCTCAGTAGGCCTTTCTTGTCATATTTTAGCTGATAAAACTACACACCCAACAGCTGTTTTTTATATGAAATGTACAAATTACTTGTTTTTTCATTGCGGATACATTTTCCCCTATTGCTTTATGGCCATATATGCAGGTCCATCAGTCATGTGAAAGGAGCTGTTTATTTCTACATGTTTCTAGTTTTTCCCTTTTTGAGTGAGTAATCATTCCACCCACAAGAAAGAGGTGGGCTGCTGCAGAACGCCACAGGGTAATGGGACCCCAGTCAGAGAGAGGACGCAGAAGGGATGATGTCGGTATTAACCATGCTGTAACTTCACAGGAAGAGGGAGTTCCACGTCCTGCGGTGTCGGGGCTAGACATGTATTCATGACAGAATTGCTTGCCCACATGAGGGCCTGGTGGTGCCACAAGCTTCAGTTTCTGCAGCCACCCTAACCCAAACTGTGCCGGATGTGTGACAACATCAGGGTCCAATCCGGACCTTAGTGTCTTAAACTCTCACTGCAAGTCACAGTAACCCCAGCAACAGTCTTGACTCCTCTACACTGCAAGAGCAGGACATGGTGAATATTACAGATACACCAACCCTACCCACTGGGTTCAATAATATGCATTATATGCCATTGATTGGTATCTCCCGTCCTTTGGATGTCCATGTTGTCCGTGTCAAAAAAAATCTTTGCAGAGCAGTATGTTGAGCTTGGCTAACTGCTGCAGAGAAAATGCCCAGAACAATTTGATTTAACTATACAGGCAAATACTTTGGCGTTATTGCCTCGAACAAAGCCAGTTGCAATCAAGTCCGATTCACCTGCCTTATGATCAGGCTAATGCAGAGCTTTACCTGGAGGCTGTGACCCATAATCTTTTGCGGACAGTCTAATGGGAAAACAGTTTCTTACCAAGTTTTCTGTAATACCTTAAAGAACGCTCTAATTGTAGCAGGGTATCAATCTGATGCGTTTATGAGTCACAGCTTTAGAATTGGTGTAGCAAGTTGGGCTGCCAGCCATTGTGTGTCGGAAGTTGATTTACAAGCTATGTACAGGTGGCATTCCAATGTATTCAAGCAGTAAATGCGTTTTCCAGTCCTAGAGATCTAAAGGCTATTGGTTATAGGATGGCTTTAGATGCAGGCCATTCTTGCCACCATGGGTACCTTACTTTTGATATACTGAAATGGTTTGTTCTTTTCTTCCGAGCCATCGGTCTGTTCTTGACATTCGTAACAAACAAAGCATTAACGGGGTGACTTTTCTCGTATTTGTGCCAATATATTCATGGTTTGCCATACCATTTCTGCATAATAGTATTCTTCACCATGACCAAAGATGTCTTAGTAAGGCTTGCTTTCCTCTACCTCATATCATACAATATCATGACTTTTTACGCTCAATTTTGTTTGGCATTTGTTTTTATTTTGATATATGTCCACATCCTTATACCTTTGTATGTTCACCGGTGACCTTATGTTATCGGTGTTGACTGCATTGAGTTTGGCGCTTTTGCCCCCCTTCTTCACATAATGAGTTAGTTTGTGTAATTATTGATGCATACATGTAACTCAGTTCCAGTGTGATGTAACATGGTCTTGTATACATGTTTTTATTTGATGTCGTTTTCTGTTATAAACGGCCAGTATCATTTCACACTTCCGTTTTACTGGTTATCTTTCACAATGTTTGATGTTCTCTATTATATCATATGCTGATGTACATGGGAATTGTTTATCATAAATAATAACTAAATACGATGTTAATTTAAATACATTTTTGATGTGAGTTCGATTTATTTATTGTGCATTATATTCGGATGGCGGAGGTGCTTCATAACTTTTCTAACTTTCCTTTCGTATCTAAACTTCTCCATCCGCGGATGGATATCATATCACGTTACCATCGATAGCGTCACTTTAGAAAATCGACTTGAGGATAAAGGTAAGAAGCAAAGTGCTATTTTTAAAATACGTGCCTCCAACCCCTATCTCCTCCTTGTTTTCGATTTTTTTTAATATTATGTATGTATTACGTATGTGTATTTTTTATTGAACTATTGAAGTGATAACAGTTTGAGCCTTTGTAACAATGATTTGTACTGCTTGTATCACGTCTTGTAGGTGGTCACACATGAAAATACCACACTGGCAGGACAGTAACATTGAAGGCATGGTGTACAATTCTAACCAAATGTTGGAATCATTGGTTTAAGCTGACGAATGTTTCTAATATAGTAAATATACAAATCTTAAAATCAATGCTAACTTTCATTCATACTATTAGTTAATTGATTTTCCATTACACACCAACGAAATGCCAGCCCTATACAAAATTGTACATAGAAACCATGACTGTCTCTGCATACATCTTGACATTTAAGTACCAATGGTGGCGGGACGGTGATTTTCCAGTAAACAACAGGCTATACAGCCTGGCAGATATATATAATATGTAACTATTCATCAAGTCTAGGCATTTTCACAATCTAGAACACATGTTAAGGTTTGACTTACTTAAAGGAAATACAACTTGACGCCGAATCGCAAAATGTTTCAGGTTTTCAAGCAGATCCTAACTCATTATATCAATGTATGAAGATGCATTTAAAAGCTATTTAATTATAAAATCTCGTTTTGATTTTTTGTCAATTGTATCTATCACATAATTATTCTGTTCTGGAAGTAATTTTTGAGAAAAAAAAACAACAGATATACAAATCGGAAACATACCAATACAAAACGTGAAAATTTTATGTTTTTTATTATTATTATTCATTTATTTTCAAAGATTTTTCAATAAAAATATAAATATTCAAGACAAATGTGTCTTTCACACCATTCACACCATTATAATTCCTACTTGCATCATCATCATCATCATCATCATCATCATCATCATCATCATCATTGTCATCAAGTTCATACATATAAAATGATGCATATATATACGCAATGTTTATTCACACAAATACCCCTATACACACATCCTCACTTCTACATATGTTCACAACCTATACCACACATATTTACTCAAACATATAGCCTACATTAACCAAACATACGCATGCAACACACTGACATACATGTAGTAAAGAAAAAGGATAGCTAAAAAACACAAGAAAAAAGAACTATTTTTGAGAGAGGAAGAGAGAAACAGAGGACGAGATCAAATAGCTACATTTGAGTTATAACCAGTGTGTGATCTTGGGAGTCAAAAAGGTTTTCTGGTACTCTCGTAAATAAATGTCAAAGTGAATTAGCATACACAATTCTGACTTACACTGTCTACGACTGCTGATGTCATTGCTACAAATTATGCATTGGGCAAGATCACGTACAACTAATTTCAACTATTGTTTTCCGTTCTGAAGTTATGTTTTTAAGATATTGTTCCCTATTACCATAAACAATATATTCCTGGACCCTGTGGTAAGCTTGAATCAAATTAACAAGAACTGTAACATTGAGTGACTTGTGTACACATCTGGTTTTACACTGCTTAATAAACGGAAAATCT